TCCTGCGCTGTTGGCCACTCCCCGGCGAACCGAGGTGGGTGCGAACCCGGGAGAGCGCCGGAGGCCCCCGGGTGCACCCCGCAGCTCGCGAGGGAGCACTGCTCCCTGGCGCCGGGCGGGCCCCGTGACCCACCGTTGTAAGAATGCTTCAGATCCAACCTGGGCTTGTTTCCGTGACGCAGGAAACATCTGGGGCGTTTTCGCAGGGCTTTGGGAAAAGTACTTACTTCCGAACTTGGCACTAAGGTGTTCTAGGAGACACACAAACTTGAGTCTGAAAGGGGGATGGGGTCAGAGAGGATGGCAACCCTGCCAGCTGCCTGGGTGCAAACTGGGGAGCGAACCGGTGGCAGGCACTTGGATGAAGGACAAATTAAACACTTAGAGCCAGGTCCACCCGTTACGGCCTCATTGTTTTAATGTCTGTAGTACTTAGGCGCAGTTTGAGAAAGAATAATGCCTTTACATTCAGAAAAACATCAAAGACCAGGGGTTGCTCAATATGGAGCACATATGGTAGTCTCTGAAGGCCTGGCCTGCCAAAACATGTTTCTCAGTATTTTTCTCCTTTCCTGTCTTTCCATCCCCGCCCCCCACTTTTTTTTTTCCTCCCCAAATGGGAGGGAGCCATTGGCTCGGGTTACCTAGGGCGTCTTGCGTTCACGTGAGGCAGTTGGTGGCTGCATGGAGGCGACCAATGAGTCTTTTCAAGAACTGAATCTGTCCTAGGAAAGGACTTGGAAGATGGGCAGGAGTATGGGCCAGGCAGTACACTACCTGTATTCCCAGGCCTTAGCACATTGTTCAGTAGTGGGTGGGGGGAACCCTTACTAAATATTTACTGAAGAATACACTGAACTAGGTGAAGGCAATAGCCTGTCAAACCACTTTGTAAATTTCAGTCTAAGCAAGATTCATTTGCAAAGCTCCTCTTCCTTATCACCTGCTGTTACTATTATTACTACTATTAACTACTACTGTTATCTAAACCACTATCCCAGTTTTTAAAATTACCTAGCAGAGACAGGCAGAGGACAGTGGCTAAAAGTTTAGGTGGTTTGCTTCCGTAATTTCTCTAGGTGAAATTTGCTCAGGGCACATGGATAGGATGGAGCTGGGGAGGTACCCTCTTTCCCATGCCTAATGCAGGCTGGGCTCACTACCTCACATTGCCCTCAGTGGGAGGACAGGCCAGATAATTTCATCTCTTTTAGCCTCTTCGACTAAATGGACTCCTTTCATCACCTCTGAAAAATGATCTCAGGATATTATCCTTCAGCAAATTTACATGCAGAGTTAGCATTAAAGGCAGGGGTGAATTCTTAGGGCTCCCATTTAAAAGAAGACCCATGCTGTCTCCAGAACATGCAGCCTTTTCTAAGGCAATACTGATGATGGTGGAGGAAGGAAGCACACCACACATGGAGCCCATTAAACATGCATCTTACCAAACCTTCCAGTGTTCTAGTGGCACACATGACACACACAGAGACCTGTAAGCAAATGACCTAACCAATAGTTAGAAAACTTGGATTTTAGACCTGGCTTTGCCATCAATTCACTGCTATCTTGACCAGTCAGTTTCTCTATATTTATTTCTGTCTCTGTCTGTCTCTCTCTGTGAATATACGTGTGCATCTATACATACACATACATATATACACACATACATATACAGATGTATTATTAATTTTTAATCTAGGTGATCTGTTTGGTCAGTAAGTCTGATTTCTATTCTCATGTTCTCTGATGCTGTAATGTATCAACATTCTATGAGCCCCTTACCCAGACCATATGGAAGAAGCAAAGTCAACACTGGAACCCTGCTCATTCTTATATTAAGTCCTCAGAGAATGTTAAACTTGGAATGAGTTTTGGAGATGCTTCAGCCCCTTCATCTCACAGATGAGTACACTGGGGCCCAGGGAACTGACTTCTTCAGGTCACAGAGATGTGGCCCACAAATCTTGGTGACAGGTTTAGGTGAACACAGATCAAGTCTTTAGGCTACCTCCTCCCTATCCCCAACATCTGCAGTCCTCACCTGGCTTTCTCATTCAGACCAGGGATATCTGGGCCAAAATTTGGTTCAGGAGCATGAATTTAAAGCAAAACTTAAATGTTTGGTACCATTTCACTTGGGTGGAGCTCTTAAGGGCCATTGGGACAAGGTTACAGTTCCTCTAATGAGAAGTACAGCAGCAAGTCTGATTTGATTATAAGAGTCTTGAATTCAATGTTAGAGAAACAAAAATCTCTAGGCAAACTTAACAGAGAGGCAAATTATGTAAGTAAGTAAATCCAATGGTCAGAATAGTATTCAACTGATCCTTTCCCTTCATACAACAAACTCCCAAATGATGGATATTGGGAGAAGGTGAAGAAGCTACTAGGAATTATTCATCATTAAGAGTAAGGTAGGCTGGGCATGGTGGCTCACGCCTGTAATCCCAGCACTTTGGGACACCGAGGCCAGTGGATCACGTGAGGTCAGGAGTTTGAGACCAGCCTGGTCAACATGGTGAAACTCCGTCTCTATTAAAAATATTTTTTAAAAACTAGCCGGGTGTGGTGGTGGGTGCCTGTAATCCCAGCTACTCGGGAGGATGAAGCAGGAGAATTGCCTTGAACCCAGGAGACAGAGGTTGCAGTGAGCTGACACGGTGCAACTGCACTCCAGCCTCAGTGACAGAGTAAGACCCTGTCTCAAAAAAAAAAAAAAAAAAGGAGTAAGGTAGTAAAGCTTTTTTTGTTTTGTTTTTCTTTTTGCTTGCTTGTTTTCAGGGAGTGTCTATTGATGTGAGGAGATGACTCAAGGACTCTCTGCCATGTTGAAAATTAAGTCTAGGGCACTTCCTCCTGCCTGCCTGGCCCTGGTTGACCTTGACTAGCCAGAATGATGCTGTCTGGCTGGAATCCAAAGTATTTCAGAGAAACAGTCATGATATGTTTTCCCTGGATGTGTAGTGAAACAGGTGGTTTCCCTACATAGAAATAGTCTTTTCCTTTATCATCTTCAGGCTGGGGGACCTTGACAACTTGGAGGCTAAAAAAACCCACAAGTCACACCAAGTCTGAGGGACCATAGGTAGGCAGTGAGGCAGGGTGGGAATGGGCCAGCTAGCCTTGGCAGTCACTCCAGAATGTTGTCCTAGGGAGGAACAGAGCAAGGATGGAACTGACATTCAGCCAACTGGAGGTCAATGTGTAGCTTTCTGCATTTAAGTCTAGGTGATTATGTTATAGCTCTGCAATATAGTAGGAAAAGTTCTGCCATTCTTCTTTTTTTTTTTTTTTTTTTTTTTTTTTTGAGACAGAGTCTTGCTCTTTCCCCCAGGCTGGAGTGCAGTGGTGTGATCTCGGCTCACTGAACACTCCGCCTCCCAGGTTCACGCCATTATCCTGCCTCAGCCTCCCGAGTAGCTGGGACTATAGGCGTCTGCCACCACGCCCAGCTAATTTTTTGTATTTTTAGTAGAGATGGGGTTTCACTGTGTTAGCCAGGATGGTCTCGATCTCCTGACCTTGTGATCCGCCCGCCTCAGCCTCCCAAAGTGCTGGCATTACAAGCGTGAGCCACCATGCCCGGCCGCCATTCTTTTTAAATGTAATCATCAGGGTCCTGTTTTGGACCTCTTATATTAAACGTTCTCCCTGAGCCATACTTAATCAGAATACTTACCTTGTGAGGTTGTTGTGGGGATTAAATAAGATTATCTACTAAAAGTGCTTTGCACAGTGCCAGATACATAGTAAGTACTTGATGCCTGCTTGCAAATACTATTATTAATCATTATTTGGCTTCAGTTGATACTAGTGCCTTATCTTTCTATGATTCTGACTTCTTCTTGGAGCACTAGATCTGAATATCCAACTTTCTGCTAGAGGACATTTCCATATAGATGTATTTAGTTTTTTAAACTCACTATGCTCAAAATAGAATTTATGTCTAGTCTCTGTTGCATACCAATAGTCTCTTCTCTTAGTCTCCGTGACTGACACCACTACCCACCTGGTGCTCAGGCTAATAACCCAGCAATGTACGGTTGAGCTCCTCCTTAATATCTTTCAAATTCACCCTCTCTCTCTCTCTTTTTTTTTTTCAAATAACCCCCTGCCTTAGCAATGACAAATATTGAGTTTTGCCTGCATCATTCCATCATTTCTCCTACTGCTAATGTACCCTCCAGTCTGTACTCATGGCAGCTGGACCGATCTTTAATGCAAATAACATTGGATCATGTCGTTTCTGTACTTAAAATCTTTCATTCATTCTCCCATAGACTTCAGGAAAACCTCAATAATGCTCTTTATAATCTTTCTCACCACTGTCCCTATATATACATTAAGCTGTGATTCTGAGCTATATTGAATACTCTCGTTTCTTTTGCCTTTGTATCTTTGCACATGTTGTCTTTCTGCCTGGGTCATACCTCCCTCCATCTTTATTAGAAGGATTCTTGTCCTTCAAAATTCAGCCTGGGCATCTCCTCTTTGGGGAAGTCTTCACTTAAGCCCGAGGCTGATTGTGGAGTATATATCCTTCAGGAGAGTAATTTCTCTTTTTTCTGCATGAGGTGTGAGTTTCTTGAAGCCAGTGGAATATGTCTTTGATCTTTGTGGCCACCAGGCTTTAGTGCCTGGCACACAGTAATTGTCCATGATATAATTGCTGGATACGAGGATGACACAGAATTGAATAAATGGCTTTGGTTCTATAACTTCTCATCAAGATTTTAGGAAAGTTATTGTTCCATGCTTCAGTTTCCTCATCTGTAAAATGGGGATCAGCAATGCCTCCTAATGTTGTAAGGACTACATGAAAAGTGAATGCAAAAGTCTTTTGTAAATGGAGTAGCAATGTACATGAATCATTATTATCATAAATGCAAACCTGTATTTCCCATGCATGTACACATTTTCATATGTGCACATAGTGTGCATGTATTATATGCATCTGTGCATCTGTGTTTGTGTTCTTGACTGATTACATGGAAAGGCAATTTCCAAACAACTTTCTCTAGATTTCACCCTTTAAAAGTCATGCCGAAGTAGATAATTACTTTTTGATAACTGGTCCAAGTTCTAGATAAAGCAGTTTGTGGCAGTGCCCTCAAATTAATAGTCATTCTGTGAATTCATTATATCCATATATGCAAATACAAATTCAGTGCAAATTTATAAGACACTGAATGGCTAATGATAACCATTTTCACTACGACTATAATATGACGATATTGTGTAATAATAAAACAAGAACATAGTAGAAATGGTAATGTTGAAGGCATTCTCCAACCAGTTTTTCCTTTGATTTTCCAATCACTTGGGGCAGTTGCTGAAGGCACTGTTTTCCCTATTTTGCATGTGAATAAACGGGGGCTCCGGGGCGTTATTGGTTTAACCTGACTCCTTTCCAACGCTGCCACACAGTGATCAAAATCCTAGGATGGCCTTTTTCCTGTCTTCTTTTTCTTTCCCCACAGCCGGTGTAAGAAGTTTACGTAGAATAGGTGGTTGATAGAAACGAGCCAGAACCACTCAATGCGTAAATTGATCGGTGCTTGTTTGTAATACTTTTAGTGCCGCAGGTATTTCTGCAATTCACGGCTGCCTTAAATGTGGAATCCACTACTCTTAACACCAGTACCAAGAGACGTTTCCGGATTTCTTGATTCCCAGAAGGATAATTGCGTCTCTTCGCAGTGCGCAGTGGCCAGCAGTCCGACTGCTCTGGGCTCTGAAGCGAAGAGCGCTCGAGTCCTTCTCACTCGCCTGGTGCCCAAGGAGGAAAGGAGGGCGCGGGCTCCTCTTCAGCCTCATCTACCTCCTGCCTCTTGTTCTTCTTTAGAAAGCCAGGTGGCGCTAACCCTCAATCCCTGCTAGAGCTGGAGGATTTCCTTGCTTGCTCGGAGTAGAGCGAAGAGGTGAAGAGCGCACTCCGCTTTGGCACTTTCTCTCTGCTTCTTCCGCTCTTTGGAAACGTAAATTTGCTTTTTTCTTCTTCCGCACCTCTCGCAGGATGACGGCAACCCTAAAGGAAAACGGAGTGTCCTGTGTGCCACGTGGATCTTGGGGAAAGGAAATGATTAAAGCCATGAGGTTTCCTGGTTCTTCGCGGCGTTTAATGTGGGTTTTGATTTGGAGGAAGAAGAGCCAAAAGAGGTTAAGGTTCCACTCTACGGCATCTTGAATCTGACTGATGCAGACGAACTGTGGGGCCGGTGGGCGCTCGCGCCTGGGTGTGCACGTACCTGTGGGTGCAGGATCATGTCGCCGTGTCGTGTGGGTGGCCTCTTCCTAAGTGACCAAGTATATGCGTGCTTATAAAGAAGAAGAAATTTCCCCAGCTGTAAAAGGGCGGCTTTGAGGTTCTCTCATGACAGCTGAAGGTAGGAATCTATTCTAGAAGGCACGCATTTCAGTTTTCAAATTTTGTTCTTTAAATATTTCCGGTCTTTGAACTACTATTATTTAACAGGGACAGGGGAGAACCCCATTTTACTATTATATTGATTAACTAGATTTAAACCAAAATCATCAAACAAAAAACGCTGTTGAAACTTGGAAAAGACTTGGTAATAAAAATGTGGCCATCCACTTGGGCTGCTGTTGCAAATACCACCAAATCTGAAATTAAGATGAATTCAATAAAAGTATTTTCTATTCACTAGAATACTAAGAGAATAGAGAGCAATTTTAAGATTTTTACTGAAACGAAAGGAGCACAGACAAACAAACACATAGAGCACTCGGCAACATTAATAGTGATGACCATGTGCCACTAATGCTGCTTTTTTTTTTTTTTTTTTTTTTTTGAGTGAGTCTCGGTCTGCTGCCAGGCTGGAGTGCAGTGGCGCGATCCTGGCTCACTGAAACCTCTGCCTCCGAGGTTCAAGCGATTCTCCTGCCTCAGCCTCCCAAGTAGCTGGGACTACTAGCACGTGCCACCACACCCAGGGTGTGTACTGGGAAGGTGACCGGCAGGCAAGATGAAAGTGTGCCTAAATTCTTCAATTCCTCAATGCCCTAATGTTTAAGGAATCATGACTGGGAGTCCTCAGGAAACTTACAATCAAAGCGGAAGGAAAAGCAAGCATGTCTTACCGTGGTAGAACAGGAGAGGGAGAAAGCAAGAGGGGGGAAGTGCCACACACTTTCAAACAACCAGATCTCAACCAGATAGTCAAAACTCACTATCACAAGAACAGCAAGGAGGAAGTCTGCCCCATGATTCAATGACCTCCTACCAAGCCCCTCCCCCGACATGTGAGGATTACAATTGGAGATAGATTTGGGTGGGTACACAGAGCCAAACCATAAAAGTGACTCAAACAGCAACATGGCTCTCAGTGGCTGGTTTTGAGACTTCCCATCTTGAGTGAGATTCCCAGGGAGAGGGACTCAGAAGAGCATGTGTACTGCGGCACTTTGTTCTTAGACAGTCCACTAAGGCCTGTGACTCAGTATCAATCCCTGTAGGAGAGCCTGTTAGTTCTTGTCCATAGCACATGGCATTCCTAGGTTTCCCCACTGCCCTGTATTGCAGGCCTAGAAGTGTAAAAACTGTAATTCCCAGTCACTTTGCTGTAAGAGATCAGGATGCAATTTAGGTTCTGATAATGAAGTGCGGTCACATAGGATTTGAAAGGCAGTAAAAAGGAAACTGCTCTCCCTTTTCAGCTGTGTAGGTGCATGAGAGGGCTCTGGGAGACATAAGTATGAACAGTGACCTAACTCCATGGCCCACTGTCTAGTCACCAGCCTTGTGGGTGTAGGGGGCTCTGATGGCTGCTGCTGACTCTACTCCTCCAGCCTTTCCACTTCATACCTCCTATTAAATCCCTCTGATCTTGGCAGATCTAGAGTTTTCTGTTTCCTGTATTGAACCGTGACTGACACAGGGAACAAGCCTGCTTGGGTGCTTCATGCCTGAGGTCTGGGTTAGTGTGGGCCTGGAGTAGTGTAGACTTTGCAGGTGTTTAGATGGCTGTCCTCAGCTGGGGTTAGTTTTGGGGTGGGGGAATAAGTCCAATCCAGGAGAGGCCGCCAACAATCCCCAACCAGGAGGCTGAAGGGACATTCTGGATGGCTCTCATGCTGCCTCTTTCACCATGAGGCCTCACTGCTTCTTTTTCTGACTTTCAAACCAAAGCAGGAAAAACAGCAACTTTTTTGAGTGTTTAGGCAAAAATTTTTGCTAAGGCTCAATGACAGACTATTCTGCCTGTTTTGATACTTGATTATATATTGTACTTTTTTAAAATTTAAAATAAAAATGTTTGAGACAGGATCTCACTCTGTCACCCAGGCTGGAGTGCAGTCACGCAACCACAGTTCACTGCAACCTCAACCTCACAGGCTCAAGCGATCCTCCTGCCTCAGCCTCCTAGTAGCTGGGACTATAGGCACAGGCAACCACACCCAGCTAATTAAAAAATATTGTAGAGATGGAGTCTCACTATATTGCCCAAGCTGGTTACAAACTCCTGGGCTCAAGTGATCCTCCCACCTCAGCCTTTCAAAGTGCTGGGATTACAGGTATGAGCCACCGCACCCAGCGTTGTTCTATTTTATGCTCTTATATCTGGACATTCACTCCTCAGTGAGGCACTAAACTACTTACGGAAAGATGATGAGTTTTCACTTTTCAGCCCGAGGGTTGAATGACAAGTTACTGGGGAAAGTCAGCTTTGTTCAGTGTGAACGGAGGGCTGGACCGCATTGTACATCTCCTCTGCAACACTGAAGTCATTTCCTCTGCCCACCTTGCTATCTAAACCCCACCTTAGAACCCTTTACTGGCAGATATTATTCAGGAGCTGATTCCTTGACTCTTCAGTTGCTCCTGAGTGAGATAAGACCGAATATATGCCACTTAGGTAATTTTTGTCCAGAGGGAATTGTTTGGTAACTGTTACCATTGGTCACAAATACGTGGTACCCATCTCTGCAGGAGGAGTACACATTCCCACTCTGTGGCAGGTGGTTGTGACCATATGATTGGAACTCAGCAGTGAAATGTGAGTAGAAACAACTCACATTTCGTTGTTTTTTTCCCTCTGCCACCGTGTCAGCAATGATACAGAGAAGTAACTCATCAGCCCAGATCTTGGAGCAAAGATCATGTGCATGCAGCAGGGCTGCAGGAATCCAGGATGGACTTGTTGCTAACACTGTTAGGACTTGTTGCTAACACTGTTAAAGAGAGAGAGAGAGAGAGAGAGAGAGAGAGAGAGAGAGAGAGAGAATTCTGTATTAGTTCACTTATTTCTGTGAAATAGTTAGGATTTAAGATGCATAATAAATTGTGCCTCTCATCCCAGCCAGAGTTTGGTGCTAGTTTATAGTGACAGGAATCAAATTGACAGATTAAAAATGTCAGCTGCATTACTGATAAGAGCTAGATTGAAAGAGTTGCTGCAATGTCTGTGAATACTCCACCAGCTGTTAGCCACCCAGCCCCTGGCATAGTGGGACACTACAGGCCTCCTCCTGCAGGGCGGGTCCCACATCTCCGGGCAGGGAGAGGATGGGACACATTGGTTCAGAAGGAGCCACAGGAGGGACCAGACTGGGCAGGCTCCATTCCTGTGGAGTTAACTCCACAGCAAGACCTGCCCTGAAAACTTTAGTCCAGGGCAATATAGGCTTCCAGAGGGAATTAGTTACAGTAGAACTGTATTACTCTTTGTATCTTGGAGAATGTGACAGAAATAGAAATATTAGGAGAGGTTATAAACATGTTAATTTTTGTTTCATTTTTATTCTTGCGTATTTTAAAGCCTAAGGGGGAAACAGTCAAGTGACAGATCAAGGCAATGAAATAAAAGTTTAAGCAATGGTAATCCTAACCATTAGCACTTTGCTGCAATCAGGCAGCTACTCCATGTGAAATGGGAACTTGTGGCCTGAACATTAATATGACCAACTTTCTGCCAAGGTGCCCGTGGCCCGCAGGGCCTGGCTAGTTGTTGTTAATTGGTGGCCTGTGGCTTCCAGTGCTGAGCTGCCTTTTGCTGGGCCTCTGAGGGAAATGGAGTTGTTTTGAAATCCAGTGTTCTTAATGAAGCAATTCCTGAACCAAAAATGTGTGAGAAATTAACCTAAAAGTGAAACAAGAAACTGGTCTATTGAAAAGTCAGTGACCCTTCCAGGGTTGCTTTTAAAAGAATAGATTTTGTTTTACTTGACACTTTGGGAAATGATTTAATAAGCCATAATGTCAAAGAAATTATCCAGTGTGTTTCATGTCCTGCAGCCTGGAATATCTAAACTAAATCATTGCAAATGAGCATCATTATTAGTGAAATTTTGTTGCAAAATTTGGCATGGACAATTTAGAATCGTCAGACTTCTAGGCGCTATCACAGAATTGGCAAAATTCAAGGGATTTTTCTAATTTAATGACATTTTCTTTATTGTCCCCATAATCACCTGCTTTATGAACTGTGGTTAGAACTGATGTTGCAACTGGTAATTTTCTTAGAACCCAAATGCATTTATATTTTTCCGTCTTTTTATTTGCATCATTTCTGGGAATTTTTAGTAGATGGAATAAAAAGAGAATACATTATAAACAATTCAAAACAGCAAAAACAAAATTCCTTGGACCTTTTACAGACACCACACATGCAAATAAATGTGGTTTTGCATTCCAATGGCATTCAAGTAGGGATTACATTTTCCTCATTAACCTCTTTCTTAGCAAACAGTATTGTTTTTCAACTATGTTTTATCTAAATGTAGTCTGACATTTAAAATTAATTCACACTGACTCAGTTCAAGTGAAGAGGTAGAATGTCTTCTTCTTTTGATCCCAGCAATTGTGCAATCCTGGTTGAATTGTACCAAAGTAGGAATGCCTACTATTTTAGGATGAAATCAGAAGATTGATTGTATTGCTTGCAAAACTAAAACAAATGAACAAACAAACAAAAAAACAACCATTAGAAATGCTGCATGTGTTTTTTCCTGAACTACTGAGGAAAGAAGTGGAAAAAGGGACTCATGATGTATGCTTCAGAAGTGAACATGATTGCTCTCCTTATGACAAATCATTTATAAAATGAATGTACTTATTTCTAATTAAAAGAAAGCTAGATCTGTTTTCAATTAGTCATAACCAGTAATTCCTCTGCTAGTATGTGGACCTTAATTTGAAGCAGTGGGAATCTTCTCTTTTCTCCAGGAAGTCAACAGAGTTGCTTAGAAAGACTACACAGTTTTGGTAGGAACAGAAACATAACTTGATTTTTTTAAAAAACTTCTGCGAACACTTATGCATGAATCTATTATCTTTTCCCTGACACAGAACAAAAGCATACATTGTTTTCAGTGTTGATATTATGCAGGGGATGATGAAATATTTCCGTGTATTTAGGTATGTCCA